ACCTATCAGATAAAAAATTGCCCCCAAATTAGGATTTTAGAACTTGAATGAATCATAATATGAAGACATTATAAGTGAATGTATATCACCTTCCTCATTAAGGCCTCCGCTTCATCAACCTTTCCAGCTTCACCAAGAGCTTCGACTTGTTCCAAAAGTTTCTTGATCTTCTCTTCTAAACCTAAGAGCTGTTCAGATTTTTCAGATGGAATCGCATGGGGGAGGTGTTACCTCAACCTCCTGGGCTAACGAGTGGAATGAGGTCGGAGAGGAGGAGGGAGAGGGAGAGGTGGAGGTCTTTGAGGCGGAGGAAGGGGAGGAAGGAGAAGAGGGGGAGGTTACGAGTGGAATGAGGTGAGGTCAGGAGTGAAATGAGGGAGAGGGAGAGGTAGTGGGTGTGGGGTCCAGCAGGGAAGAGGGAGGGTGGGGAATTAGGTGTGATCAGAGTGCAGTGAGGGGGGTGGGGTCAGGGTTTGCGTGTAAAATCATCAAATGCACGGGACTGGTAGTCCCGTGCATTTGATTTGCTGCAAATCCGACCCTTCTCCGAAGAAAAGGGTCGTTTTTACCTATTATTTTGAGGAGTGGTCGGTTTTGCTATATAAAATTGAAAAAAGGGTTCTTTTAAAAATTTGTCCTTATACATATTATATGCTTATAGATTTGGTAAATGAGTAGATTTTTAGAGTATGATTCTTCAAAGGAGTTGAAGATTTCTTAAGGTGAGTAGATTTCTTTCCATTAGTTATTTTAGTCTATTATATATTATTTAAATGATAATTTTATTTTTGTGTGGAGAAATTGTTGGATTAGACATGTTATTTCTTGTCACTTATAGTAATTGTTAAAAGAATTTGAATATTGATAGCTATTTATATTTTACTAGTTAAATATTATTTAGTGTATGAAATTATTGAAATAAGTCATCAAATATATTTTTAATTTACTGTTCAAATGTATTTATTGAAGAGTTTCTATTTATCAAAAAATAACAATTTGTTTTAGATAGATTCATAAATGTCCTATTTTCACGACATAGACATGAGAAAAGTTTACAAAGGTGTATAAGAATTTATATTGCTTTTCTACAAGTAGAAATTACAAGTGGTATTTTGAGTGAAAAGAATATGTTTTTATATGTTAAAAAAATTATTAGATGTCCACAATTGAGTGAAGTGTTTCGTTTAAGCCTACCATATGATATTGAATGCACTGACCAATATTAAAGTGGCCTTTTTGGTAAAAGGGAAGTGGTCTTCGGCAACATATGGTAGTGCTAGGTACATTATGTTCTTAGGTTGACCTATAGTGATTTGATACTCATTTCCGTACTACTGGGCTATAATTTTCATAGCTTTAGTGTGAATATTGAGGAAGTTTTGCAAATATGAATGTAGATTTATATTTACAGTTTAAAAGTATTTAATTTGTATTATTTTCTTAAATTTTATTTCCTTATTGTCTTATGCAATACATGAAAACTTATTCTGTACAATATCGAGTATGCTTCTTTTATCGTTCTTAATAGTAGTTTACTTAAAGTTAGTAGTGATAATTTTCTAAACTTGTCAAATCCTCTAATGATAAATTATCTACTCATTGAGTGTAACCTCACCCTAATTATTTTTATCTTTTTCAGATGAGAATTAGACAACTCTACCTGTAGCTTGGAGTTTGGGGATATGAGAATGGCATTTCAAAGAGTACTTTAACACTGAGATTTTATAGTTGTTATCTTAGTCACTTTTATTTTACGTTTTAAGAGTCTTTTGGTTCATTAGAGTGATCTTCATGTAGTTTTGCTCTGATATCAACAAAGCTTATTAACAATATCCTAGCAAGTATGATATACAATGACATTTATGTAAGGATAACAAATAAATAAAGGATGATATAAACTATTAGACAATGGAGATGATAAGCAATGAGCACAAGAATAATGCGCCAAGTCAAACTCAAACACACATATGATCACAGAGTTCGATGGCCCTCGATCTACGTCTCTGCTCCTCATTCACGAGGAGAATCTCCACTATCACAACTGATTTTCAACGTTCACCAAAAACGTTTATAATCCACACAATTGGTTTTCTAGCTCACCGAAAACTCTTATAACTCTCATACTTATAACTACATAATACACCCTCTAAGTGTTGGCCTAGCCCGTGCCTCCTTTCTCAAGTGCTCGTATTTATCACCTCTCTCTAGGCTTTACTACCGACACCACTCCTCTTGGAAATGATCCTGTCTCTTACCATACACTTCTCTCGGTGTCCTTATGTATTACAATGTGATCTCACAATTAAAACACAATAACAAAGTGTTTGTTCTCTACAATGAATGAGAACTCAATGAAGCTCACTCTCAATGTTACAACCACTAATATACTATTATGAAATACTTAAGCTCAAGTGGGTGTGTGTAATCAATGAGCTATAACAAAACTAAACTCAATATGAAACTAGCTTAATAAAAATGATAATCAACAAAAAATATATATATAAAGCTAGAAATTAAGTTTAGAGAAAACTTCTTTGAAAACAAGAGTGAAAGAGATGAGAGATTGAAATTCAAACACGAAATAATAATCTCTTCTTCCTCTTGTGAAAACCTCTTCACATAAACAATTGTAAAACAAACTAAAACAAACTTAAACACCCTTAAATCACTTGTAAACTTGTTTTAAACTTTTCTTAGATGAGTTCAGTAGTTTGAGGGTAAGGGGTATATATAGGTTCACAAAACAAACCCTAAAACCAAATAAAAAGATAAAAATAACAAAATCTGGAAATTAGTCGTTACTGTGCAACGGCCATATTATAAGTCGACTTATGATAGGTATGAGTCGACTTATATAGTATACATCAATTTGTTATATTATGTATCGACTCAGCAGATTGAAAACACCATCTGCGCAACACTTTATAAGTCGACTTGGTATTGTAGCAAGTCGACTTAAAACGTGCATATGAACTGATATGAATAGTAAATATCAACTTTAAAACCTCTTTAAAAATATTAAATAAATCCTAAAAAATGTAAAACCTAGAAAAATATTTATAAACATGAAAATAAATATGTTACAATTTTTTTTTTCAAATTGTACTTACCAATTGTGAAAACACATCATTTTGCAAACTAGGTCAAAATACAAAATGTTAATACACTTGTTTTTGATATTTTGACTTAAAGTTTTGAAAACTATTGTATGGATTTAGAGGCTAAATAAAAGATGTAAAATAATATTATTTAGTCCATAAATCAATAACACAATGTTTTATAAAAAATACATATATTTTGCAATCTTTTAAAACAATAAACATGATTTCAAATCTTGGTATCAATGAAATCATATCAAGCACATATAAACATGAAATAAATATGAGTGTATACAATTAGTATTCATTAATTTCATATTTATGTGGCTAAACACATTATTTTCAAAAAAATAATGATAAATATGAAACGTGTATGTATGTATACAAACAAGTATATTTGTTTTGTATTTATTTAAACTTGAAAGCTATAAAAATCACAACGTGTATGTGTGTAATATTTGAGCTTTAAGCATTAACACACAAAGTATAAATTCCTAAACTAATATATCCAAACTATAGGTCTTCAATAGTAGCTCAACTTGGTTGCGGATGAAGCTTGATCTTGTATTTGACTTTGAATTCATCATTGCTTCATTCTGGTATCCGTCAACCTCATTTGAATGTCATCGTTAAGGCACAATCCATCCAACCTCTAACTGAGGATACTTGTGCAGAATACCTAACA